GTAAATATCAAAGGCCAAAGACAAAAATAAAATGATAGGCTATTAGGAAAGTATAACTACATATCATATGTAAAACCTATGAAATACGCCTGAAGTGCTCTGAGATAGATGTGTAGTCATGAATACTCTGTGTGTTACGAAGTTTAAAAGGAAAATAAAATTATCCATCCAAGGCAAGAGGTTGGGAGAAACTTTACAGCAAGAAAGAAAATAAATGTAAAAGCAGAAATTAATAAATTAGATATATGAGAATTAATATTACATGTAAAATGGTGATTTTTGTTATTGTTGTTTTTAAGAAAACTCTATCAAGTTTTAAACAGGCTTTAATAGTCCTGTGGAAAAGTGTGTGGGTCGGGAGGAAAGTGGTCACTCTGTGTAAATCCCCTGCCGTTTTCCTCAGTGTGCTCTGAGTTGCAGTTTGTCTTGACAAGTGCTTTACTTAGAGACAGTGCAGCTATCTGCTTCATTCATGTCCCCTAGAAGGCACTTATTATATCCGTAGCAGGGGGTGTAAAAAGCACCTTACTGTTTGGTGCATTTTTCACCTTAACCTAGACTGTGGAGGCTCCCACCGCCCCTTCCTGTGGGTGTGCGGCACATGCTCTCAAGTTTCACTGTGGGAGAATGTCTCATTATGTTCTACTTCAGTTTTGATTTTAGGTGGGTGTCACTTTTCTGTTGCTTAATCTGGGAGATTATTTGCATTCTCCTGGAGGCTTCTCTGAAGAATTCAGAATGCATGCTCTGCCTTGATGTGCTTTGGGTGCTCCCTGGCTGTGTTCCCGCTCACCTTGGTGCAGTCCCTTTCCCAGCCAGCTTGTGCTAGTACAGTCATCCTTTAGGCTCTCTGTGATCCCAGAGTCTGGCTAAGGAACGCTCTCGAGGAAACCTTTTATACTTCTGTGTTCTGATAACATATTTGGTTTTCTAGATTATTTGTATAAATGTCATTTTATTATTGACATTTGCTTTTAATATGTTCAAAATTAAAAATGAGTGGAATGCATAAATATTTTCACAGACTGGATTAATCAGATTTTTTATTAATTTAGGAAATTGTGAAAGATAGTTTTACCACAGAGTTGGGTTTTTGAAGCAGACAATAATACAACAATGGTTATACTGTTTCTGTTAGTTTATATTTTTTATTATTTTATTTTATGTCTATGTCTATGCTGCAAGCATGTCTGTGCACATGTGCATGCCTGGTGCCTGTGGGGACCAGAGGAGGGCATTCGACCAACTAGAGTTGGAGTTACAGACTAGAGCTTCCATGTAGGTGCTAGGAATGGAATCTGGGTCCTCAAGAAGAGCAGTCAGTGCTCTGAACTGCTGAGCCATCTCTCCAGCCCAGCCCTTCTATAAAATTTAGTTTCTCAAAATATAGATTATGAGGGGCTGGAGAGATAGTTCAATAGTTAAGAGAGCATAGGACTTGTCAGTGAACCCAACTTCAGTTCTCACACCCACATAGGTTGCTCACAGCCACCTGTAACTCCAGCTCCCCAGGACTCTACCCTCTTGCCACACAAACCCATGTACTTCACTTACCACACATCGACACATATAGTCATACATACATATAATTAAACATGAAAGAACCCTTTAAAAATGTCTATATAAACATACAGATCATGAGCTAGACATGGTGGTGCCCCTATGAGAGGGAGAGGCAGGAGAATCATGAGTTCAAGGCTAACCTGGAAATAGTGAGACACTTTTTAAAAAAGGCAATAAAAATTAGTGACTAAAACATGGAAATTGAAACTGAGGAATAATATTATATAAAGTAACTACTCTAATTTTTCAATATTTTCAAAAACATTTTCTTTGATTTCTATACTAATATTAAAAATTGACAAAATTTATATTTTGACATTTGAACTTTAAAGGATTATTTGTACTCAGCATTGCTTTTGGGGCTGTTTAGATGTATGGTAGATAATTGAAGGCTTCAAGATCACAATGAACAACTTCAGAAAACATGTAAAGTTAAAACTGTAGAGAAAGCTTGTCAGTCTGTTCCTTCTGGTGACATCTTCTGCCCGTGCAGCTGTTGACCACAGTGGCCTCTGTCTCTCTCACTTTGCTAAAACAAAGGATCATTTCAATGTTTGTGAATTTTATTGTTGAACTTTGGTATCTAGAATTGCACTTGGAGTAGAAACCAGTACAAGCCTTAGTCTTCAAGGATGCGTTCATGTGCACTGTGTGTGTGTATGTGTGTGTGTGTGGGGGGGTGTGGGTGTGTACACATCAGCTTGAGAAGCCATACATTTCTGAACAAGTTACCTGAGGCCATAATATACATTTATATAAAACACAAACTAAGCTGTGTGTAGAACTTTTGATCTGAAAAAGAATTTGAATTTCTTACCAAAGTAATTGATTAGGTTGTTTTGATTTTTGATGAGGTTTTACTGTGCCGGAGGGGGGAGGGTAATAGGGAAAGAGTCAAGAAAAGTGTTATTTTATTTTAATTTAATTACTATGACTCCTTTTTCATTATAGACTCTTCAATGTATTCGTATTCCTTGCTTTATAAAAAAACTAGTAAGTATTAGTTTAGAGCTTACAACTCTTCAGAGTTCTTCCATGTTTAGAATAACTCTGATTTTTAAAAGAAATCATAAAAATTACATTTTAGTGTAATTAAAATAGGATTTCTCAGGGCTGGAGAGATGGCTCAGTGGTTAAGAGCACTTGACTGTTCTTCCAGAGGTCCTGAGTTCAATTCCCAGCAACCACATGGTGGCTCACAACCATCTGTAATGAGATACGGTGCCCTCTGCTGGTATGCAGGCAGAAGACTGTATACATAAGAAATAAATAAAATCTTTAAAAAGAAAAATGGGATTTCTCCTGCTTTGTGCATGTGTACAAACTATATAAAACAAGCTTTTATTTTCTGCATTGTTGGAAGTCAGCCTCTGTTCCCAGGTAAGTCATTTACTGGTATATTGTATGGTATATTGTATATCAGTGTTTAGTTCTAATGAGTGGCAGAGGGAGAATTGCATCTCCCTAACACTTGAAGGTGTTTTGCTTGAGTTGTATTTCAGGAAACCATCCATAGTTCACAAGTAGGTGTTCTTGCTCCTTCAAGTTTGGTTCATAGTGTGAATACAGATTCCACAGTTCAGTGGGGCAGGGAGGGAGGAACTGAGTAAATACTGCTTGTAGTACAGATCTGTCTCCTTACACTATTAACATGAATTTCTCATCTATGTCCCAGACTGTTGATGGATCATTTGGTCTTTCTGAGTAAAAGCTGTCCATTAAGTCTTACCTTTAAACTTTCATGCATTTGTTATTACTTTTATAAGAAAGACCTGTGTTTTTGTGGGAGCTTTTATTAAATGTCACCTTAATGACTTTAGTAGAAAAAAGTCCTGGTTAGGACTATTTTGTTTTTGTGCACCCCACCCCCTGACAGGGTTTCTCTGCGTAGCCCTGGCTGTCCTGAAAATCACTCTGTAGACCAGAGTGGCCTTGAACTCACAGAGATCCACCTACCTCTGCCTCCCAAGTACTGGGATTAAAGATGTGTGCTAACACTGCCAGCTAGGTAATTGTTTTGAGTGGTTGAAGTATTGACTTGCATTCAACAACTTTGTTTAATAAAAAGGAGTTAAGTATTTTTTAGATTATAAATTTGCATGGTTAGCATTCTGATTTTGAAGACTATGCCATAGTTTTTTTTTTTTTTGATTTTCTATTTTTTTATTCTCTTTTTGTTTTTGAGGCAAGGTCTCAAGCCCCGGTTGGCATTGAATTCTATGTAGCAGAGGAAGGATGACTTAGAAGTTATGATCCTCCTGACTTTCTACGTCTTGAGTGTTGGGATTCCAAATTTGTACCACCATGCCTGATTTATGTGGTGCTAGGAATTGAACCCAAGGCTTTGTGCATGCTAGGCAGGTACTCTACCAATTGGATTAGGTCCCCAGTTACCCCCCACCCCCTCTTTGGGAGGTAGGGTCTTGTTATATCCCATCTGACTTGGACTCACTATTTAGCCCAGGCTAGTCTCAGGTTCTTGGCAATCCTCCTGCTCCAGCCTTATGAGGGCTAAGATTACAGAAATGAGCCACTGTGCCCACCTCCTATAGGTACTATTGTTTCAGAAACTTAAATTTGTTAAATATAATGTGTATAAAATTACTAAAATCAATGTACAACTTGATAACAAGTTGGACGGCTCGTAAGTTCTGCTAAGATACAGAACTTACCAGGGACCCCTAAGCTCTCCAGATACCTCTTCCCAGTTGCAGCCCCCTCTTTCCTAAGAGGGTGTTCCTGTCCTCATAGTTACAGAGCTCATTTTCTTAATATTTTTCCATGTGTATATTTTCTCAGAGGGTAGTTTTATATGGCTTTTAGTTTTCTGGAACTATATCATAAGAAAGATACCCAGGAACTAAGGAGACTGACATTAAAGTCTGTGTTAGGTCACATTAGTGTTTGGGTATCTACTGGGAAAAGTTACTCTCATTTTTTCCCTCCAAGTTTAACTATGAAACATAATTTTTCCCCTTATGTTTTTGATTCATCTTAGACATTTCCCCTCATTGTAGTTTAATGATACAAAACTTAATTTCCTGCAATGGGAAATGCAGAAATAGACTACTTTTTTGACTATTCAAAGAAGTGTAATTTTTCTTCAGAATTTATGTTGAATGACTTCCTCCCTTACAAAATTAGCAGAAAATACTGTTTTGTCTGAGAAGCTAGATTTCTTGTTACTAAGGTATTTTTAGATCTGAGATATGACTTTCTTATAGTCCTGATTATTCTAGCAGCTTGACTGTATAAGAAATGATTTCACTGGAATGTTGTGACTTTTGGTAAATCCTTCCTGTTTTACTGGTTATTTGCTTACTTTAAGTTGACATTGCTGTTCCTTCTATGTGTTCTGTGAGTACTGTCTGTAGTGTCTTTAGAAGTGCCAAATTTGTATTGGTTGTTGACTCATGCATTCTGTTTTCTCTTTGAAGAATGTCAAACTTTCCGCTGAAGTAGAGCCATTTATTCCCCAGAAGAAGAATCTGGATGCGTTTGTGCTCCCTATGGCTCTCCCAAATGATAATGGAAGTGTTTCTGGTGTTGAACCAACACCAATCCCCAGTTATCTGATTACCTGTTACCCATTTGTCCAGGAAAACCAGTCCAATCGGTAATTTCTCTATTCTTTTCTTTATTGATGGGCATATAGAACTTGACAAAGTACATTAGTCTTTTTCTTTTGTAACTTTCAAAGTTTAATCATTTATTTGTATTTCTTAATAGGAAGTAAAATATGCAGAAATTTGAAAGCTGCCAACATGTATTGCTTTTTTTTTCTTTCTAAGAGGAAATGCATTTTTCTGAGCATGCCATTGAAATATATTGCAGTGTAGTGACCCAAGGGAGATGTGAAACACAAGAGACCTTTTTTGAGATTAGATGCTTAATCTCACACCTGTCAGTCAGGACAGGGCCTGGCCCAAGAAGAAGACATGAGGGACTGGTGTTGGGGTGCCCTGGTTGAGTGTGCACTTATGCTGCTTTCCCTAATCTAGCAAAGTTCTGGTAGCTCAAATAGCATGTGCCTGGTAGCATCTAGGGTGGGACTTGACATAGTTGTGGTGTGCCTGCTGACCCTTCCAGACGTCTGATGGGGCCCTCGTTGCTACAGTTCATGGTGTTGACATATAGATGTACTTTCAGCCTGTTTCAAGTTATGCCACGTACAGGAAGCACTGTGGGATAAATGGATGAGATAGTTGTGGCTGTATGGCTCTGTGTGACTGTCTGTGGGCTGAAGCAACTAGTATCTACACATCTGTAGCCCACTGTAGCAGTAAAGGGATGTGGAATTCGGCCAGATCTCAGGCTAGATCCCTTTATACTATCATGTCTACCCTTATTATAAGTGCAGGGCATCTCTTATAACAGAAAAGACACATGATGGCATTTGTTTTGCCTTTTCTCCTAGAATTATTGTGAAGGGACTGTTCTGTATGTCTTTATTGTTTGTTCTGCTTTAATATTACTCTTAGACTCGTCAATAGATTTTTTTTGTTTTGTTTTGTTTTGTTTGGTTTTGCAGACAGTTTCCTTTATATAACAATGATATACGATGGCAACAACCCAGCCCAAGCCCTACTGGACCCTACCTTGCCTACCCCATTATATCTGCTCAGCCACCTGTGTCCACAGAGTACACCTATTACCAGCTGATGCCAGCACCCTGCGCCCAGGTTATGGGCTTCTATCACCCTTTTCCTACACCTTACTCCAGCACCTTCCAGGCTGCAAACACTGTCAATGCCATAACCACAGAATGCACCGAGCGTCCAAATCAGCTGGGGCAGGCCTTCCCATTGCCCAGTCATCGGAGCAGGAATGGTAACAGAGGGCCGGTAGTGCCAAAAGTGAGTAGCCACTTTCTTTGTGTGTAGTTTTTAAACATGATATGTTGTTAATACTAGTATAAGCAATTTACTGCTTGTCTCCATTGGCCTTTAATGCTTAATTTGCTACAAAGTATTCATCACTAATAGAAAGTATTATAGCCATATTATTTTAAATCATTTTTCCTGATTATATATTTCCCCTTATTCTTGATGGATAATGTTACATCATCTCCATGATCATTCATGGAGTTTTACATAAACACCATGCACAGTTATTTTTAAATTATTTTAATTTTGTGCTAAAACTGCACTGTGATGATGCCAACATTAAATGGATCATGTGATTGAATGTGCCTCAGCCTGTTTCAGGCTTCTGAAGTCAGCAGGAGAATGAGAAAGATTAGCTTTAGTGGTCCCTCAGATCCCTTCAACTCAGCATCAGTGTTCTGATTCATTATGAGTAGGGAAAGCACTTTGTTAAGAAGCAAGTGTGAAGCCACTTGGGTTCCAGGCCAGCATTTGACCTAAGTTTTATGTATATATTAAAGATGCAGTGTAATGCTCCCTGAAGTCGTGGGAGAATTCTGTTTATCCCAGGCTGCTTTTCTATTAAGGGCTTTTATCGAAGCTGTAAGAAAAGCCTGTTTATAGCCAGCACTGTTGAACTGATGGAAGACATTTCTCTGTGTTACTACTATGGAGAATTACCACTCTCCCAGATTCCATTAGCTAGCTTCCTCAGTAGAAAGTCTTTGCTGACTTTTGGCATAAGTTTTAAAAATTAAAAACAAATAAGCAGCTGAGATTACTTTGAGAAGATTCTTGCCTTGGTTCATGGAAACATTGTGGGTCAAGGGACTGCCAAGAATGAAAGGAAGAGGTATTAAAAAGCAAGATTGTAGTATATAGTTTCCAGGTGTTCAGAGTATGGGACTTCTCAGAATGCCTTCCCAGCAGTTCCAATTCAGGAAGTTGAAGTTAAATTCAAAGTTCTGGTGTATAAGAAATTGCTTTTGAGAAATTACTCCTATTTTTAAAAATTTAAAGAAAGAAGTCAGCTTTTTAATAGTTTCTGTTTGGACTCCAAGGTAGAAATATTTTTGCTCATCTTTGTTATGAGCCTAAATTTAGTGACAGGGTAACTTTTCATGCTTTTATTGCCTTTTAAAATAAAAATGTTTAACTCTTCATATGGCACTATAAAATCTTGTTAATTGTTAGTAGCTGATTTAAAAAATAAAAATGCAGGTAAAAACTAAAAACTCAGATTTTTACTAATCACAGTGTTAATAATTATCTGAAAAATATGTGTAAATGTGCTTATGGTACATTATTTAGCCTGTATTGCTTCTCAGTGAATAATTCCACAAAATCACCTAAGAGCCCCTGATTTGTGGTGTACTTTTAGGTCTTTTTGTAATGGATGTAATGTGTAGTTTATGTTTGATACGTTTACTGGTTTTCTGTTTTTTTTGTTTGTTTGTTTGTTTGTTTGTTTTGTTTTTGTCTGTTAAACTTAGCCACAGCTTCTACAGCAACATATAAAAAACAAAAGACCACAGGTGAAGAATGTGGCTACTCAGAAAGAAACAAGCTCAGCAGGTCCTGATAGCCGATCAAAAATTGTGCTCCTGGTAGATGCTTCCCAGCAAACTGGTAAGACAGTGGTCTGTTTGTTTATTTGTTTATTCTTGTGAACATGGCTAGATGTGTGTGTGTATCGGCTCCAAGTTGATGCTTGGTGTCCTCCTTAGTCACTTTCCTCCCTGCATATTGGTGGTGGGGGCTCTAAGCTGAACCTGGACCTGGCTGTCTTGGCTAGTATGTCTAGCTAGCCGGTGCTAGGGATTCTGTCTCTGCCTTGTGAGCTCAAGACCAGTTCAGCTACATACTGAGAGCCTGTCTCAAAAAATATCATAAGGACTGGAGAGATGGCTCAGGGCGTAAGAATACTTTGTCTTGCAGAGGATGAGAGATTGTCTCCCAACAGGCAACTGTAACTCCAGCTTCGAGGAATCGATACCTCTGGTCTCCATGAGCACCTGCACTTACAAGCACATCACTCTCCCCCTATTAAACATTAAAATGAATTTTTAAAAATTTGTAAATGTCATAATGAAACTTGTTATAGCATATAAGTGATCTATGCTCATAAAAACTTTTTAAAAAGAAGAGAAATCCCCCAGACAAGCTCTGGATTGACTTGGATAAGGCAGCTTGTTGCTTTCTGTTATTCAACTTTTTCTGTTGGATATTTAGTTGTATGATCTTTTACATGTGCTTAAGTCCTTCAGGAGCAGAAAGAGAATCTGGGAATTAGTTAAAAAGCCATCTTGTCGATGTCCAGTGCTGTGTGGTGTGTGGTTTGTAAGGCTTAAACCAGTGTGTTTAATAGGCTGCCTGCCATGCTTGGAGTAGTTTTGGGGAAAGTCATGTGTTCCAAGTCTGTTTCTCCTCACAGTGACTCATTTCTGCATCCTTTGGTAAACCTTAGCAAGGTTCTTAAGACTACTACTACTACTACTTTTTTGTGTTTCCCCGAGACAGGGTTTCTCTGTATAGTAGACCAGGCTAGCCTCAAACTCAGAGATCTGTCTGCCTCTGTCTCCCAAGAGCTGGTTTAAAGGCAAATGCCATCAAGCCTGCTTTTTTTTTTTTTTTTTTTTTTTTTTTTTTGTGGGGGGGGGGGGGATATATGGTTAGAGTGTGCAGTCCATCACACCTAGAAAGTGTCAGGGGGCAGAGAGGGCACCTTGTAGCTCCAGTCAGGAACCAGATGAAAACTGGTCCTAGTTTGCTTTCTCCGTTTCTATTCAGTCTGGAGCCTCAACTCATGGGATGGAGCCACCCACTGTTTACAAGTTTAATCCTAGCAAAGGTCTACAGAGTGAGTTCTAGGACAGCCAGGGCTAGAGACTCTGAAAAGACTGTACTTTGCTCCTTAAGTCTTCAAAAGGACAGCCTCCTAAAATGTAAGAATTGGGGGCATGGTTTGAGTAGATTGTATATGCTATCAGCATTTCCATTCCTTAGTTTGTTTTTCACTTCTGAGGTTTACCGGGCAGCAATAAGAGATAAAAATTACTTAGTTTTGTAGAAGTAGGTCTTTCTGCTTGTAGCAGATTTTTACTTTTGAACAAGCTTGTATTATTATGTAATAAGAATATAAGGTGGCTAGAATCAAGAAAGGGAGCTGCAAGATGGCTCAGCAAGTGAAGGTATTTGTTGTCAAACTGGAGGTCAGTCCCAGAACCTACATGGTGGCTGAAGAGATCCAACTCCCACAAGTTGTCCTCAGCACCCCCCCTCCAACTGTAACACTCAGGCCCACACACATACACATACATAAACTAAATAGATAAAATGTTAAACAACAACAAAACAAAACAAAAAACAGTTGTCTGGATATAAGATGATATGCAAATGTCAGCTGTGTTCCCATGTGTCATGAACAACAGTTTAAGGTTTACAGCAGCAACAGGAATTCAGGAATTTTGGACTCAAGCTTAGGAATACATGAGGAGACCCTGAGATTGTTGTGTAAAACCATAGAAAACATGATTATCAAACACTGGTGCCCCCAATGTTTAGTCTGAAGTTGAGTACAGTTATACTTAAAATCTCAGTAGGAATTTTTGGGGAACTCAACAAAGTAATTCTAATATAAAGGAGCAGAGTGGTCTGGAGAGTCCTTTGTGCATTAAAGCTTAGAGTCAGCTTAATGCTTTTTAAGTTAATTAACTTTGTTCATTGACAGATTCATTCATGTATGCAGAGTTCTGTTGCCCTCACTCTCCATGGCTGTCTTCTCCCCCCACCCCATGTGCCCTATCTTCACCTTACAAATCCCTTCCCATATTGCTGTCTTTCTCTAGCTTTATACCATCAATGTAGTATATAGGTATCGAACGAAAACCCAGAAACACATGCATGGAAATGACAGGGACAGCATTGCAGGCCCCAAATTTATACCCCATTCAGGTGACTGTAGATTGACCAAGACTTGAATGAGAAAGAAAGCCAGTGAGCAAAGAGAATGCAAACACTCCTTGTGGCTGCCTGGCTGCAGGACAAGGGTCATTTTCAAAATTAAGAATTTTAATTTAAAAGAATAAACTGTAAGCTTGGAAAAGTTTTTTTTTGTGTGTGTGTGTCTAATGAGAAAAGATTAGTAAGAATAGAAAATAGTGGTGTACTATCCTTGGCGCTTGGGGGTTAGGGAGCTAGAGCAATTTTGGCTTTAGGAATCTTTCTTTTGATTCAGTTAATTCATAGTGGGTGTGTCCACATGGAGCTTCCCCTTTGAAAGAGATTTAAACTGTTACTGAAGTGCAAGGAAAATGCCAAAACCTAAATTCCAAAATGTTCCTAGTGTCCAGTGACAGGTGACAGTTCACAAACACACAGGGTGCCCCTCCATAGAATGTATAAAGTAGGGGGACTTGTCATAACACAGTGACATAGTATTAAACAGCACAGCTTCAAATCAGTCAGTTCTGAGGGAGAGACTGGAGGGAGGGCTCAGCAGTTAAGAACACTTGCTGCTTTCCCAAAGGACCTTAGTTCAGGTTCTAAGCACCTATGTTAGGGCTCACAGCTGCCTGTAACTCTAGCTCACACAGACACATACATACAAATCAACAAATAATAAAGTCAGTCTTTTAAAATTGTGAATTAATAGAATTATAGAAAAAGGAAAACTTGTGAATTGTTGAGGTGATTGTAACAGGCTTATTAAAATGTCTTAGTATTTGTGAAATTAAAATAAATAACTCAGTGGAAAATTTTGTAAAGTCAAACTAAAAGTAAAATTAATCAGAATTTCACAGAAGAATATTAGTAGCTAAAAACATCAGAAAAGATTCTTTACTTTCTGCCTCCCAAGTGCTGGAACTAAACGTGTGCCCCACCACTACCCTGCTCGTTTCTTTTTTAGATACAAAAATCTATTTCACTCACTACAGAAAAGTGAGTGAAAACTAAACACGGGATAGTGGTAACAGGAAAGAGGAAGGTAGGCTGCTGGGGCACATATGGTGACTTTGAAAGACTGGCAATGTTTGTTCTCTTTCTTAAATGGCTGATGATTTTAGTATTTTATGACAGATATTTTATTTTCATAATGATGCCATGTTGTAAGTTATTAGGAACATTTTATCTGATCTTTTCAAAGAGTCACATATTTGTCCATTTACAGACTCTGTCACTTTAATTTTCTTAGAACCTTAATAATTTATAAAAATGTGTAGACTTGGTCATCACAGAATTGTTTGCTTGCCTTGCCTTGTAGATTTCCCATCAGACATTGCTAATAAGTCTCTCTCAGAGAGCACAGCAACCATGCTCTGGAAAGCCAAAGGCAGGAGGAGAAGAGCATCCCACCCTGCTGCCGAATCCTCCAGTGAGCAGGGGGCCAGTGAAGCTGACATCGACAGCGACAGTGGCTACTGTAGCCCTAAGCACAACAACCAGCCTTTGGCAGGGGCTCTGCGGAATCCTGACTCTGGGAGCATGAACGTGTGTAATGCCTCACGTCCTTTGGTTTGTTTGTTTGTTTGTTAGTCCTGCAGTTAGTATATATCGTGTCCTTTGCTGAAAAGGAAATATTCATTTTTTTCTTTTTAGCAATGTTTAATGATATTTATTATTCATGTAAATAATGAAGCAGTGTTCTAAGTTAGTAATATATTTAACACTAGGTTAAACATTTGCAAGGTATGACTCTTAACTAGAAACTAACCATCCTTTTTTGTTTTGTGTTTTTAGCACGCAGAATCATCAGGCTGTACAGGTACTTATTTTTTGCAGTGTTTCTTATGTATTTTCTTCTTTGACCATTTCAAGTTTTACTTTAAGCATGGGGCTTACCAGTGCTATAAACAAAAACTGTAAGTCTCCAGTGACTCAAGTTAATTGAAAAGTATATATAGTTTTACCAAAGAAGTTAAGAAAATGTGATTCTACAGGATGACATTTGTTTTCTAAAAATGCCCGTGTCACTGTAAACTTAGAGAAAAAATTCCATGTCTGTAGTGACTCAGTTGTTTAGATTCTGGCCTTCATTATCAGTGAATCTAATCTTTAATATCTTTACACGTTTGATACAGGTGGTGTAAACTGGCCCAAAGTAACCTGCCAGGCAACACAGAAAAGACCTTGGATGGAAAAACGCCCATCGTTTTCTAGAGGGGGAAGGCAAACTGAACAAAGAAATAATTCCCAGGTACATTGAATGAGTTTGGAAATCTGATTAGGTGTGAGGTGAATAATGTTAAATGTTTCATACTAATGGTAGAGCAGTTGTTAAGCATGTTATTCTTAAGTTTTAAAGGTACATAAAGTTGCCTAAATGTGAGCTACTGTGGGCTGTTGATAAAGCATGAGGTCCTGAGTTCAGATCCCCAACCCCTACTTCAAAGGCTGTCATGCTGTAGTGCACATCTGTATTGAAGAGCTCAGAAGGCAGCCAGCCTAGCTGAATTGGCCAGCTTCAGTTCTGTGAGAGACTGTGTCTCCGAAACAGTAAGGTAGAGAGAGACAGGAACGTACACACAAATAATGTGGGAAATTACCAATACGGAGTCAGGTAAAAATACAAGGGAATTTAATAGAGAAAAGCCTTACTTGCAGAGCGACCTAGCCAGCCGGCAGGGCAGCAGTTAAGTACAGCAAGCCGAAGATGAAAGCGAAAGAAGGACCCGTCACATGAGCATCTGTCACTCTTAAACCTTCCCTACATCACCTGTAGTCAGCCCCTAAGCAGGCATGGCTGCAGCATCCCCTACACACAGATAATTATGCAATAATCTTTATGCCTTGTCATGTCCCAGGCCAGTGAGAGATCCTACGTAAAAAAAAAAAAAAAAAAAAAAAAAAGGTTGTTTTCTGAGGAAGGGCACCTGAGGCTGTCATCTGAAGAATGACTCAGATACAGCATGCATGTGTGTACATCACACCTATACACAGGGAGCTCTCATATCTAAATCTTTTCTAGTTTTTCAAGACAGAGTTTTTCTGTGTAGCTTTGGAGCCTGTCCAGGAACTTGCTCCATAGACCAGGCTGGCCTCTAACCCACAGAGATCCACCTGCCTCTGCCTCTTGAGTGCTGGGATTAAAGGCGTGCACCACTACCTCCTGATGTCACATCTAAAACTTTTTAAATGCCCTAGCAAATAAAGCATAAATAATGAAATGGCAATTTGTTGATTGAAGATGGTGAGAATATGGATGGAAATAGCACCACCTTTCCACTTGGTGTCTGGTGGAGAATGTCATAATTTTAGAGCAGGACACCTTCTACCTTCTGTGTCTGTTTCCTTCCATGTCAAAACATTTCAGAAGAACCTTTTCCTCTGAAAAATCGTTGTTTCAGCTTAAGGACTGTAGGGGTCTGTAGGTTTCTAAACATACATTTACTTATTTTTGTGGGTGTGAGATTTCGGACAGCTTGAAAGAATAAGGATCAGTCTTAAGTCACCAGGCTTGCCAGCAAACGTCTTTGCCTGATGAACCATCTCTTCAGCTATGGGTATTTTGATGTGGCTTATTAACACTCTTTTATGCTAGTGGCATTGTCACATTGATGGTTACCTAATGCCACAGTGTGGCTAGATAGGGCAGTTTCCTGATAGTCCTGCAGTGGGGGCTGTGCACGGCTGTGCACATATAGCAACTGTATCTTCACGTGTTGGTTGGCTATCAAATCAGGGAATTGCTTATTGGTCATTATTTCTCCTTTTCAGTTTAGATAGACTTCTGGATTCTTTACATCTAGTTAAGGAATTAAAGCTGTCATATAAATATGGAAGACCAAAAGTAAGGACAAGTATGGATTGAGTGTCCCAGCTGCTGCCTTGGGCAGCAGCTCTTGGCCTCCCTGAGATGAACACTTCAGATAACTCCTTGACTTAGGCTCTACTTGCTGTCAGGAAAACAGGAGCAATGCCCCTTCCCTCTGAGTCTGCAAAATCAGGCCACTTTTCCTCCCAGGCTTGTGAAGCAACCTAGCTTTGGCTTTATTTGATGATAAAGATTAGACAACACCTGCAAGATGTTTACTGAATTTTTCTGTTGAAATTGAAACTACCTGCTTTGCCAAGTTCCTGGTCTGGGTCCTGGTCTGGTATTTTGTTGTTTGTTTGTTTGTTTTGTATGTGTGTCCATTAAAGGAAATAACCCTGAGATGAAAAACATTTCAAATGCTTTCTCTCTACCTCATAACTGTTGGGGGAAAAAGAAGCTAAGCAGTAAGTGTATTTTATTTGTTTGTTTTGACAGGGGTCTTTCCCTAGAGCTGAGTCTAGCCTAGAACTTGCTGTGCTACCCAGGTTGCTTTGAACTTGTGACCTTTCCTGCCTTAGTCTCCCAAGTGTTAGTATGTGCCACTCCACCTATGCAAATTTGTTTATTTTGTATCTTTCTTCATTCCTAAAACATTAGAGCCAGATTTCCAGTGTGTTGTTCTGTCTACTACTGATGTTTGCTGTCCTAGTATTTTTCTTAAGTATATGCTTGATATTTTCTCCCCAAACACCAGCTCCTTTTTGTAAGTCAAAACATTATGCCTTTTTGCAACTTCTAATTGTTTTCTAGACTTTAAAAGGCTTTTAAAAGGTAATTCCTACAGAAAATATTAACCTATATTTTACACTAGCTTTTTTATTCTGTGTGTGTGTGTGTGTGTGTGTGTGTAAGAGAGAGAGACAGAGACAGAGAGACAGACACAGAGAGGGTATGAGTAGGTCCGCAGGTAACTTTGGAGTCAGTGCTCTCCTTCCATCTTCTCCTGGGTTCCAGCACAGGTCAGCCAGCAAGCACCTTAGCTGCTCAATTGTCTCACCAGTCCTTGTGCTACTTTTTTATAGTGCAATGTTTTGAGATATTTTTATCAGAGACTTAACTTTGATGCATGGTGATCTGGATTTTCAAAGCAGCAAACCGATTTTTTTTTTTGGTTTTTGAAGACAGGGTTTTTTTTTTTTTTATGTATAGCCTTGGCTATCCTGGAACTCGTTCTGTAGACCAGGCTGGCCACAAACTCACAGAGATCCACCTGCCTCCTGCCCAGTGTAGCAAATACTTTTATTCACTGATTATAGGACTGGAGAGATGGCTGTGTGGGTAAGAGTGCTCACTGTGCAGGCATGCAGATCTAAGAGTAGGTCCCCAGCACTATGGAAAACGTAACACATGGATATGCATACCTGTAACCCTGACACTATCTATGGGGGCAGAGACAAGAGGATTGTTTCAGCTTGCTGGCCATCAGTCTAGCTGTGGGTTCACAGAGAGACCCTGTTTAAGGGAGTAAGGCTGAGCATAACAAAGCAGGCCACCAAACTTATCAAATATACATGCACCTACACAAACAAACGTATATATGCCACACACTGAGACTAAACACTTAAAAATACAAGAAAGAAGAAAGAAAAATCAAAGGATAAGGGAGGAATGAAAAGGGCTTCAGGATTTTTGATTTCTATTGTTTTTGTTAGTTTTTTGTCACTGTGACAAGACACTTGGGGCAAGCCAAATTTACAAGGATAAATGCTTTATTTAATGTATACTTTTGGAGGGCAGAAATCCAAACATTCTATAAGCCCTGGTGAAGTTCACCTGGTGTGTGAGGGGACTGTTTTTGTGAAGAGAGGGAACGAAACCACATATAGAAAGTCAGAGAGAGGCCTAAGGATCAGAGTCTGCTTAGATCTTACCAACGAGGCAAGCCTGGCTAGCCAGCATGCCCCAGATACTCTCCTGGCTCTGCCTTCACAGCAGTGGGGTTAGAAGTGCACACTACCACTCTGTAGCCCTGTCTAGTCTGGAACTACATTTGTAGACTAGGCTATCTTTGAACTTGAGGTAACCCTCCTGCCTCTGCTTTCTGACTACAGACTGATGCTATCACTGTGTCTGGTTTATATGCTTACTTTCCAGCAACAAAACTTAGAAGAACTGACTGAAAGCATTCAGTTATCATGAGGTTATTGATTTGTTCAGATGTGATTGGGATATTTGCTTCTCATGGACCTTGTGGAAACTGTTGTTTGAAAGTTTTAAGTTGCTGGCACTTTTTTCCTTTTATCTTTAGTTATTTTGCATGACAGGGTTGGTCTCTCTGTGTAACCTTGGTTGGCCCGAAACTCACTATGTAGACCAGGCTGGCCTCGAATTCACAGAAATCTGCCTCCCTCTGCCTCCTTAGTGCTGGAATCAAAGATATTAGTCAACCGTGTTTGGCAATCCTGGTACTTTTTGTCTCCATCTATAAGTATCAAATTGCATTTGTTTTTTAAAGAAAAACTGTTGAGTATTTTTGACACCATCCATCCATATATACTAACTGGTTCCCAGCAGGAAGCATGGGAATGGCCAAGTGTAGGTCTGTGTGTTGATTTCAGAAGGTCCTCAGTCTCTTGACTGCGTCGTGTTGTTTCCCTTTGGGATTTTGAGGTAGGCATTGACAGAGAGGAACTTCTCATGTCTTTTGAATTTCTTTTGAGGTGGCATTTAATGTCAGCTGAAATAGATTCTTCAGAGAAGTATCTGGAGGTTCTTAGAACACTCACCATGCTTTTTCTTTGCCCTCTGATAGTGAAATATTTTGCAGACTTATTAGTAAAATGTCTTAATCTCTTCGTTACTATGAAAAGCACCATAGACCTGATGCTTATGAGCAGAAAGGTATAGTAAGCCAAGGTCAAGGTACAGGAAGGCCAACTGTCTGGTGAAGGATTGTCCACCTGCTTCTTGGTTCTTAGTGGACAACCTTCTCACTGTTGTCCTTAGGGAAGAGGGGCTGAGAGTTCTCTAGGCCCCTTTTATAGGCTTCATAAATCCCATCCTGGATGCTCTGGTCTCGTGACCTAATCTCTTCAGTCCCTGTCTCCCAGGGCTCAGGACTCTCCACATGAGTTTGAGGATATAGAAACAGCTCTTGTAACAGGATAATAATACTTTATGTGATTGGATAAAGTTCCAGTTCCTATCATCTTTCTTTCTTCTCTGTTTTTTTTTGGGGGGGCGCGTGGAGGGTGGGTTGTTTATGTGTAAGAATCTTGCATTGTAGCTCAGCTACCTGCCATTCTTCATATTGCAGCCCCGGTTGGCCCCGACTGCATAGTCCTGCCTCTCCCTCTCTAGTGCTGGGGTTGTAGGTCTCTGCCCCTTGGCTCTTCAGCTCATTTCCTTGAAGGCAATGCTCTAATAAAAATATCACTAAGAAAAATCATCTATAGAGATGCTTTTTAGCCTAGGCTGGCCAAGGATAACCTTGAGGTTTTTGGTCCTTCTACCTCTCCTTGTTCTTGTAATCCTTCCATGGTTGGCTCTTTCCACTCAGCAAGTTCTCTGGAGACTTTTAAAGGTGATTAGATTTACTAGCAGCTCACACTTCTCAGGCAGCTAATGAGTGCTCCTGCTGTATTGTGGACATAGAAGGACCATTCACCTACTGGAGAACCTTAGGTCTGTTGTCAGGTGTTGGTTCTTGTGAATAAAGCTGATAAAAATGCTCAGTTTCTGGGGGAGGAAAGTAGCACACCTTACTGTTGGTTTTCATGGAAGCCTCATCTGTTGGGAGAAACTGTGCCCTTTTCAGAAGTTCCTTGAGTCACACTGCATATGCTGCTTTTCAAATTTGCTGTACTTCAATAACAAAGTTACTTGAAAATGATGTTTTCTTTCCTCTGGGGTTCCTTAGGCTGGATTCAGATGCCGAGGACACAGTACTTCCTCAGAAAGAAGACAGAATTTGCAAAAGAGACAAGACACTAAGCACTTAAACTCTACTCAGTCTCACAGGAGTGACCTAAATCCTGAGTCTTTATATTTTGAGGTAATTTTTTCAAATTCTATTTGTAAAGTACTCTTGAAAAAAATCTTTATTAAGAAATTAGTTTGGTATGTAATTATGTTATAAATATTTTATTTTCATGTCTTAACATGTTAGTCTGTTAGATTATAAATTACTTAACATACCAGCTCATTTTTATTTGTCTTGGTTGTGTTTATGTAAACTAACATTCCCTTTATTAATATCTGTTTTGAAGTTTTGTCGTGTGTTCATTTTGAGGTGGGGTGTGGATGAGAAGCTGATTTTGTTGTCATTGGGTATGTCTGAAAGGTTTTTCAGATTTGAGATATTCCTGCTCCTATTCGATAGAGTCTTAGAGAAAAAGAAAAATGGCTGTTTTATTGGCTCTCCTAGTACATACATCCTAATTCACTGTTTCTGGTGTTTATTCAGCTAGCTAGCTTGTGCTTCATCCTGGGACTGTAACAGAAGGTGCTGTGAGTGGCAGACCAGAGAAGTGCTCTGTGCTGGGAGGATATAGACATGACCTCATGTGTGACTGATTGGCTGTAGTTGGACTAGAAAATAGAACAAGCCACTTGGGGTGGGTCTTAAAGAATAAGTTTGTTGTTTGTTGTTGTTTTAACAATTCCTGGTAATTAATCAGTGCAACCTACTTTGGTTAGGGCACAGATTTTTATAAAATAGGTTAATAGATGCATATTAAACTGAAATTCTAGAAGTTAGAGGACAAGGATTAGGATGGGTTGTGTTTTTTGTTTTGTTTTGTTGTTTGGTTTCTTGAGACAGGGTTTCTCTGTGTAGCCCTGGCTGTCCTGAAACTCACTAAGAATTAGTATGTTAACTAAGCTGAATAATGTCCCAAAGGAGTTGAGAGTACATCTGACTAATTCTTCCAGGAACAGTTTTGCAGCCCCTGACTGGACAGGTATTCACAGGTATTCAAATAAAGAGGTTCTAAAAAGTGTGCCATTTGTTTCTATATTAACATCAGTTAAAATTTGGAAACCATGAATCTTCGGAGCTAAGATGGGAGTATTGCTTTAAGCCTATTAGTATGGACTGTAGTGTGAGACCATGTCTCAGAAAACAAAACAAAAATTAGGAAATTTAAATTCTTGTTAGATAATGTTAGAATGAATGGTTTTCTGTTAATATTGAAATTGGACTGCTGCTTTGGTAACAGTTTCTAGGAGGACAACTGCATTCCCAACTCTCCCTTTTTCTTTTAAAGTGACAGGGTCTCTCTGTGTAACCCTGGCTGTCCTGAAACTCTCTATGTAGACCAGGCTGGCCTTGAACTCACGGAGATCCATGTGCCTCTTCCTCCTGAGTGCTGGGATGAAGATGTATATGACTGGCTGACACAGTTTAAATGTGTTGGAGCTTTTCTGAGGCTAGAAACCAGGGCTTGGTGCTTGCTGGGCAGGCACTCTGCTACTGACCTATCCCATCAGCCCCTGTTGTTTTTTATTTATACAGATGATTTAAACTTAAAATGCCAGCTGAGTGTATTGGTGTATGCCTGTAGGGTGACTGAGTTGGGGTTTTGCCTGAATTCCTGGGTTCAAGACCATGTTAGATTGTGGGACACCATCCTCTGATTCTTTTTTCTTCTTTTTCTTTTTCTTTTTCCTCTCTCTCTCTCTCTCTCTCTCTCTCTCTCTCTCTCTCTGTCTCTCTCTCTTTCTTTCGTTCTTTCTTTTGACAAAAGGTCCCTCATTGGCCTGGAGCTCAGTGATAAAGCGAGACAGGCTAGCCTGTGAGCCTCATGGATCTGCCTGTTTTTATGTCTCAGCACCGGGTTCTCAGTGTCTGCCACTGAGCAGCTGTTTTTGCCTAGGTTCTGGGGATGGAATCAGCTCCTCATGCTCCCAGAGTCAGCACTTTCCCAAGCAAGCCATCCCCCAGCTTTCAAGACCTTTAATCCCAGCACTTGGGTGGCAGAGGCAGGTGGATCTCTGTGAGTTCGAGGCCAGCCTGGTCTACAGAGTGAGTGCCCAGACAGGCTCCAAAGCTACACAGAGAAACTCTATCTCAAAAAACAAAAAACAAAAAAACCAAAAAGCAAAAGAAAAGAAATTAATTTGAATAAAAACGTTTTAAACATTAGTCTTCAAAGTCTTCAAATTATATGTAATAGGGAACAGAATGAATTTTAAAAATGAATACTAAACTACTTAAAATCTTCTCCAAATTATCTGAATGTGATAAAAATCCAGTTTAGATTCTTTTCAGATACCTACCTGTCTTAGGATAGAATTGGTATAAAAATGAAAGAGTGGTTACAGAGACCTAAAGGATGGATGGATGTGGATGTGATTTCATGCTTGAATAAAAAATAGGGTTAGCATAGGAGAAATCAAAGTCTCTTTTTAAGACTGATTTAAAATAGTTCAACAGTAGGATACAGATATACATTATTTCCCTACCTTTCAGAACTGTGAAACATTATAGAAAGTTTCTATGCTGGGGAGGTTGCTCATTGGTAGAGTAGTTACTTACCATAAGTAGGGCTCTGGGTTTGATGCCCAGCAAACACATGTTCACATACATGAGCACACGCTTTAACACACACACACACACACACACACACACACACACACACACACACCTTTGTAGGGTTAATCCTGAACATTTTCACTGACATCAGGAAAAACTGTTTCAGGATGAAGATGGGTTTCAAGAACTAAGTGAGAATGGAAATTCTAAAGATGAGAATATTCAACAGAAACTTCCTTCAAAAGTAGTAAGTAACCCCTTTCAAAATTAAAAGAAAAATAGAACACCTTTTGAACTCTGCGTTATGTGGAAAGACATCTTGAGGTTGGTATAAAGGACACAGGGCAGCATGGTGTTGGGGGATGACATGCTTAGTGCCTACTCTCAGCACTTTAAGATTGTTTCTGCAGTTGTGTTTATTTTATCTGTGTATGTGGGTGGCTGGGTACACGGTGTGCGTGAGGAAGTCAGAGGACAGCTTGCAGTTGCTTCTCTCCATCCATGTAAGTCACAGGAATCCACCTTTTCAGTTTTGGCAGCAGGTTCCTGTACCTGGAGAGCCTTAATGTTTCTTTTCCTAAACAAAAGTAGTTTCTAGGAAATCTGCAGTTCTGTTACTAGATGAAAAACATGAAGTACTGTCATACAATATGCAGTCTATATAGAAATTTCCCTCAGACAAGCACCACCTGTTATATTCAGCTCTTTGTCCTTTTGTCTCCCATTCTAAAATGGTTCTTTCTCACCCTGTTCTTTATGACCCCTCGTCCTCTGAGTCTCCCTCTCTGTTCTGCAGAACCTCCATCCGTCTGCATTGTCTTTCCCATGGTCTGACATCTGTGAAGTGACTGACAGATGTATTTCTCCTGTTTCATAGCTGGATGATTTACCTGAAAACTCGCCTATCAATATAGTTCAGACTCCGATTCCCATTACCACGTCAGTTCCTAAACGAGCCAAGAGTCAAAAGAAGAAAGCATTAGCTGCAGCCCTTGCCACAGCACAAGAATACTCAGAAATAAGTATGGAGCAAAAAAAATTACAGGTATATAGACATTTTCTGATGGGCTTGCTGGGATGGACAGTGTAATTATAACTTGTCATACTTTCCTAGTCAGAAAAAAAAATGAATCTTTTCTTATCCACCTTTTAGGAAGCTTTATCAAAAGCAGCTGGAAAAAAGAATAAAACCCCCGTGCAGCTAGATTTAGGGGACATGCTAGCTGCTCTGGAGAAGCAACAGCAAGCAATGAAAGCACGCCAGATCACCAACACCAGACCGCTCGCGTATCCAGGTGACTACGGAGTGTGGGCAGAGTGCTGCTGCAGCCGTTGGAGATATAGCTGTATACTCTTTCTCTTTCTCCCTATCTGCACTTGATCAGTTTCCTCTTTCTCTGTCTCTGAGAGAGAAGTGGGTACGCACGCCACAGCAGGCATGTTGATGTCCGAGGATAGCTTACAGGAGTCTGTCTTCTCCATCCTGGGTTCTCAGGTCATCAGGCTTGTAGTACAGACACTTCTGCTGAGCCATCTTCCCTGGCCCCATCCTTATTTTTTGTGTTGTTTTTTATTTCTTCAAAGGTTAAAATAAAAAACCACTGGGTAATTTGGCTCTGTTAGCTACAAAAGCATCCAATTAAATGACAAATTTTGATAGTTCCATATGTGCAAATGAAACACTGATCTGGCTTCCCACTGAAGCTGTTCCTATTTTAACCAACCTTGTCAGTTTTAGAGCCCAGTGTTTGATCTCCCTCCTTCCCTTTTAGAAGGATAGGGATAGCACAAAGGAGGGAAGGGCACCAATTAAAAGAACTAATGCTGAGAAGCAGAATTTTCTGTCCTGTTCCCAGTTTGTCCCAGTTCCAGGACTGTTGCTGAATAGATTTAAAGATAGGACTGTGTGGCTGTATCTGTGTGCAAAGTGATGGAGTCTGTAGCTCTCCTCTCCCTTAGTGGAGACCTTTGCTTTGAGTAACTGTCAGTAGAGGTGACACTGAATGCATGGAGTTGCCTGCTGCTGAAATGGGAAGAGTGGCAGTGATCTCCCCTGGATACAGTGGAGGAAGTGGCCTTTCAGCTCACATCTGCGGCTTATTGGTATTGCTGATTGTAACACAAATACCAAAAAACTCAGGGATAGGAAAGCATTCATTCTCCAGCCGTAAGGTGAGATCTACTGGCTTGGCTACGCTTTTCTGATCCTCAGCTTGACTTTAATAAATCATAAACAATATATCACCACAGCTGTTTTGGTTTTTTGAAATAGGGCTGAAATAATCCCTCTGTCTTAGCTTCCCAAATGCTGAAACTACTGGTGTGTGCCACCATACCCAGCCATTTGTCATTTTCATCATTTATTTTTCTTTAGTTGCTGAGAACTAAACCCAGGGCCATTGAACTGAATTTCTAATCACTATTTCTTCCCATATAAATATTTTTTTCCCAATGGCTGGGGCTTGAACTCAAGGTCTTATACATTCCAGACAAGTAGGCTGCCCCTGACCTATATCTGCAGCTCTATAGCTTTGGTTGATTTAATGAATGTTATGTTGAGGGCTGGAGAGATGGCTCAGCAGTTAAGAGCATTGGCTGCTTGCTCCTCCAGAGGTCCTGTGTTCAATTCCCAGCAACCACATGGTGGCTCAGAAATATCTATAATGGGATCTGATACCTTCTTCTGGAATAAAGTTGTACATGCAGATAGAATACTCACATACCTAAAATAAATAAATAATTCTTTAAAACAATGTTATATTAAACAACTCTGAATGGCTGTCTGGAGCTGTTGGGGTTATGGAGATGGTGAAGATAGACCCACTCAAGAAACTCGTAGCTGGCTCAGTTCTGCAGTGGCTCAGCAGTTGGCACTCATTCTTGCAGAGGACCTGGGTTTAGTTCTCAGCACTCAAGTGGCAGCTCATAATCATTTATAAGTGCAGATCCAGGGGATCTGATGCCCTGTGGCAGACACAGCAAGCATCCACATGGTACACATCCATCCTTCCAGGCAAACATTCATATACTTAAAGTAAATCTTTTTTTAAAAGTTTATAGTCTAGTGTGAAAGGAGACACATAAATAACTGATGAACAGAAGTGCCTTAGGAGAGAGACACCGAGTTCTGTGAGCCTGCAGAAGGGAGGGATTGATGGCTGCAGATGAAGAGAGATACAGATTAACAAGTGACTTCCTGAGTGGCCTTGTTTGAGTTGGGCTTTGGGGAATGGGTAAGATTCCTAGCAGATAGAAGTGAGACTCTTTCTATCACCAGTCTCTATTTGAAAGTAATAAAAAGAATGCTGTTGGGAAACTCAAGAAAGGAATGAAGGTGTGGGAGTGAAAATTTGTAAGGAATTGATGGAGCATGGAATAGCAGGTTGTAGAAATAGTCAAAGACAACTCCAATGTGTTGCAGAGATGGCTTCATCAGTAAAGTGCTTGCCGTGTGAGCATGAGGACCTGAGCTTGGGTCTCTACTACCATATAAAGCCAGACATAGATGGCAGCATGCACTTGTGACCTAGCGCTAGAGAGGCAGAGACCGCCAGATCCCTGGAGTTCGTTTTCCAACTAGTGTAGCTGAATTGGTGAGCTGTAGGTTTGGTGAGAAACCATGTCCTAAAAACTAGGGTTGAGAGTGATTGGGAAGACACATAGTACCAACATCTGGCCTTCACATGGATATGCACACATGTGCAGGTTACCCTCAACCACACAACACCCTACCTGTGCTCTGTGGCTTAGTGAAGAGGGCTATGAGGATACCACAGTGACATAAGGAGAATTGACAGTGGCCTTGGACTTTAAATGCTAGCAGTCGAGCTCCTGGTGACTCCATTTGTCATGTGCCTGTGCTTGTGTAATTCAGATTAGAAGTCAGTACACTTAAAAAGAGGGAAGAGCCCATGAAGTGACCAGGTTTCAGGAATAGAAGGAAGAAGAGCCACACATATAAACATGAGTGAATGAATGAATGAATGAATGAATGAATGGTGTCCCAGGAAGAAGTTTTGAAGATTGGAAGATTGTATTTGACAACTGCAAGGTGGTTCTGTTGGGCCTTTTTTGGAGCTTGTGGGAGCTCTGAGACAGGTTTCTCTGTGTAGCCCTGGCTATCCTGGAACCAGGTTGACCTTGAACTGAGATCTGCCTGCCTCTGTCTCCTGAGTGCTGGGATTAAAGGTGTGCACCACCGCCGCTTGGCTCCTGTTGGGTCTTGACTTACAATAGAGTGGGTAGGTCTGAGGCCAGGTTTGGAAAGGAATGATGTCAGAACGATGCTGAGACATTTAACTGGTAGGGATGGGGCAGTAAGAACACCTTAGGCTGAAGGCAGGCCAATGAAGGCATTGGCTTTGTGCATTTGCCTCCTAACTCCCCTTTTCTTTTAGATAGAAGCGGGGTGGCTCAGAGAAGAGATCGGGGTGGAGGAAATGCACGTGAAAGGGAACAGCACAGGGTCCCAGAGGAACTCAGGTGACATTAAGAGCTGAGTTGGTCAGTGGGCCATGGACAGTTGCAAGGATATCTGTCACCTCCTTTTGGGCGTTTTTTGTAACTTGGGCAGTGTCTTCTCAAGAAAATGACAGAGTATTCTGCTGGAGTGGCGGGGTTGAGATTGGCAGCTTAGAAATGCTAAAGGGTCAGGGGTAAAGAATGAGGGTACGAGTAGGGGTGTAACAGGTGCTGGGTAGCACTGAGGGTGGGGGAGAGAGCCAGCTGTCCTTCCTGACACCCAACTGAAGAGGAGCCTTAGGCTGCAAAGTGTGTCAGGGTGAGTAGTCGGCTCTGTAGACATGGGGAGAACACCAGAGGTGGGCCAGTATGAGTGGAGGCCAGTTGTAAAGAATGCACTCACTCAGTCGCTGCTGTGGAGTTGAACTAACAGTCCAGGCTTGCTTCAGACCTCTTGGTCGGCTAACTGCATTGACTTACCTTCATTTTAGGGAGGTGAAAGACTTGGAAAGAAGCTGTGTCTGAGGCACTCTGCTGAGCCTGTTACTGTGATGTCTTTTTGTCCTTTTCCATGGGAAGAGAATGCTGTGTTTTTTGAAGATTTAATATTGAAATTGTCCAATTGTAAATTTGGCTGCAGTAGTAAAACTAATGTTCTTGTTTGTTTGCAGTCGCCGCTGCAGCTGCTTTTCACACTAAAGACTCTGCTAACAGAAAGCCTTTAACCAAAAGTCAGCCCTGTTTAACGTCCTGTAATTCTCTGGACATTACTTCCTCTAAAGCTAAGAAAGGAAAAGAGAAGGAAATTGCAAAGCTAAAAAGACCCACAGCACTCAAAAAGGTAACCCCTAATCTGGAGATGTTTCTTTGATAGGGTAATTTAGAGTTTTCTTTTATTCTTTGCAAAATCAGTTGTGTTTTAGGAAGCAGATGTTGCAATGTATTTATACACATGGCTATGTGTGACTGGTTAATTCAAAACCAGCATTGTATGGCAGTGGTCTTGCATGTAGGAAAGTCCTACAAAGTGACTATTCCTATAAGGTTCACCCTTCCTGGGGAGCAGAAAGGAGATAGGATGGAGGGTCCATGGGAGCAGGGGAGGAGGGGAGAGAGGGGGAACTGGGATTGATATGTAAAAGAAGCTTGGTTTAAATTTAGAAATAAATAAATAAAAAGAAAATAAGTAGCTAAACATTCATATCCCCAAAAATTAAACTCCTTAGGAATCAGAAGCCCATATTTTCCTTCCTTTGCATTTTTTTCTCTTGCATGTATATGTGTGTGCATGCTTGTGTGTGTGTGTGGGGCGGGGAGCTGCATATAGAAGTCAGGTTCATGTCTGACTTTTCTCAATGGCTCTTGACCCTGTTCTCCCCTTTATTTTAAGGAAGGGTCCCTCAGTTGAACCCAGAGCTCACCAGTATGGTTGGTTTGGTCAGCCAACTTGCTTCAGGAATCACATCTCAGCCTCTGGGTTCTGAATCATGGGTGGTCTGCCACACCCACCTAGCATTTTTGTGTTCTGGAGATCCAAACTTTACATATTAGGCTTGTACAGCAAGCTCTCTAACCACTGAGCCATCTCCACACCTGTGCCTCCCTCCCCTCCCCGCCTGGACAGCCTCCCCTTCTGCTCCCACAGCTTTCTTCTCCTTTCCTCTTTGCAATACTAGAGATCTGACCCAAGGCCTCGTCCATCTGAGGTAGGCACTCTGCCTCCTCGCTAGCTAGCCCTGGACCTTAGTAACTTTAGGGTTTGCTCTGTATTAGTAGAGCAACTTTAGTCCCACCTTTCTGCCTCCCTTTTCCTTACCTATAAATTGATGATAGTATCTGCTTTGGTTTAGTATTAGAGGGTCAGAGTGAGGCAATTCATGCCTGAATAGTTGAAAGTCATTGTGTTGATCACATGAACTGTATGAGTCGGTTTCTAAACTTAAAGTTACTGAGTTTGGGGGATCCTTCTTGGTCGCCTGGGATTTAAAGATTGAGGCAGATGTGGCATGTTTGTGTGCGCTCAGCATCCTGCTTCCCTTTGTTTGAGGATGGAGGCAGTTGAAGTCTGTCTGGCTGTGCACTCTTAGCACACTCTCTCTGTACTCTCTGCACAGCATTCCCTTCCACTGAGTCAGATTTTTACAGGTCAGCTTTTGTGCGAATGGGTAATGCAGCGACTGAAATCCTCATGGCTGTGCCTGTGTTTTAGTATAACACTGTAATAGCTTATACCTAGTTGAAGAGTGAGTGGTGATGAAGAGTGGTGCAATGGCTTTCAGGTTATTTTGAAAGAAAGAGAGGAGAAGAAGGGACGTCTGACTGTGGAACACACTGTTTTGGGCACGGAGGAGCCAACAGAGACACATTTGGACCTCACCAATGACTTGCCTCAGGAGACTGTCTCCCAGGAAGGTGAGGACCACTCTCCTCTCTCTGTCAGCTGTCTGCAGTGTTGCCAGAGAGAGCCTCATTGGCTGTGCCTCAAGTGAAAGTTGCACCCTGTATTTTATGTACATTGATCTATGTGGGTTTTTTTTTTTTTTTTTTTTAGGCTGAAAGGGTGGACAGGTGTTACATAGCAGGTCTCTAACACTTTGGAGGCCAAATCTACCGTTTGTAGTAACATCTCAAACATTAGGGTTTCCCGAGTGCCTGGGACTCCCAGGATTCTCTTAAGAGCTCTCTTTCATCATTTATGTAGGAAACACTATTTATCAGTTGTTTTCTTTATAGGAATGTTTTCAAATCATTTTATCCATTTCCTTTCTTGCTTTGTTGGGAATTAATACGTAAGGCACAAGGAATAGAGAATTGCAAAGTAGTGCAAAATTCTGTTCATCCCCAGTACGTGTAATTCCAACAGACAGGTCCTATCTGGTATAGCAAGGTAAATCTGCTTTGCACAGAAATCAAGCAGAAGTTTTTCAAAAGTTAATTTAGTCCCAAGCATTATTTATCTAGGATGTGCTTGGTTGGGATTCCCCTTTATTCTCAGTATGATTCCCCTTAGATTTATGCATGTCCATTAATCCAGTCACCCCTCTGATTTTGATTAAATAGATACCACATGTGTTCAATAAGTAACGGAGTTAAGGGGCTAGAAAACAGAATGATTACAGGCTGACTGTCAGGGGCTGATAATCCAATAAACAGAATTAATGTGTAACTTTGTTGATTAGTAAACTGAGCATACAAATTCACTTCCTGAGTTTTCCTGTTGAACAGAAGCAAAAACTTAGGAAGAAGTGGTAGAATTAATAGTTTGCATCTAAAAGTGTGGTTGCCTAAGCACAGAAGCAAAGACCAGATAAGTAGGTGAGGAAAGGTGCCAGGAGGGTGAGCAGGTGGGGGCTAGAGAGTGTAGGGGGGGTTGAACACCTTTGGGGGCTGGAGAGTTGGGGGGATAGGAAGGTGGGGGGGCTGGGGAGTTGGGGGGGGGGGGGGGGGGGGGGGGAGGGGGGGGGGGGGGGGGGGGGGGGGCAGGGGTGGGGGGTAGAGAGTTGGGGAGTGAGCAGGTGTGGGGGCTGGAGAGTTAGGGTGAATAGGTGTGGGGGCTGAAGAGTTGTGGGGGTGAACATGTGTGGAGGCTGGAGAGTTGTGGGGGTGAGCAGGTGTGAGATAAGGCGAGTCAGGAGAGAAGTGACATAGGATTGTCATTGTTACTACCAGGTAGGATTAGAAAGAAAGATTTAAGAAATAGATGGCCAATAGAGATGTGTGATAATGCTGTGCAGAAAGGTACAGATCTCTGGGCATGTGTCTTAGATAATTTTGCTTCCCCATCTCCTCTTGAAAACTTCTAAGCTATGATTGATTTTTCTTGGCTATGATACCATTCTTTTATTTTATAAGAAATCATAATTTGTGATAGGAAAATACCTAACTTACTACCTTCCAGAGAATTAAGGTATGACCTGAGAATTCTGCCATCTAAATTGTCTGTGTCCATCTGGAGCTTCTTAGCATTTGAAATTGCCAGGTTCTTCCCTTTCGCTTCACATCTCCACAGATACTGGACTGAGCATGCCCAGTGATGCTTCACTTTCTCCAGCAAGTCAGAACTCTCCATACTGTATGACACCTGTGTCGCAAGGCTCTCCTGCTAGTTCTGGCATAGGCAGCCCAATGGCATCATCAACGATAACCAAAATCCACAGCAAAAGATTTCGAGAGTAAGTTATTTTTCTCAATATTGAGGCCAAACAGTTGAAGGATCTTGTTGTTCTGAATTCATGTCCTTGTTACTGAGTAAGTGGAGCAAGATGGAATTTGGAGGTTGGGCTGCTCTTCTCTTGTTTAACATGGTTTGGGTTTATTTAAAGCAGCTCTGCTGTCAGTATCCATGGAATGGGATTTCACAGTGATATGTTTTCTTTATCACACATGGTGTTTCTATCCCAAAATCTTATGTCATATCTATGTTGTGTATCATGTGTATATGTATGTTATGTATATGTGCATATAGGAGGCAATATACTGGCCAGGCGGTGGTGCCGCACGCCTTTAATGCCAGCACTCGGGAGGCAGAGGCAGATAGATCTCTTGAGTTTGAGGCCAGCCTGGTCAACAAGAGCGAGTTCCAGGACAGGCTCCAAAGCTACACAGAGAAACCCTGTCTCAACACCCCCACCCCCAAGAAAAAAGATTGTAATGCACCATGGGTTTTGCCCCTCCAAATGCTTTTGGGTTTTTTGTTTTTATTTATTTATTTTTTTGCATATAATATAGATACTTTAAAATACTTACAAATAGGGTTCTTTGTCTAAGACCCTGAATCTCACATAAAGCATGTCATTTTGTTCTTGTTTTTTGTTCATTTTTATAGTACTAGAGTTTGAATTCAGGGCCTCTTGCTTCCTAGTCAAGAGTTTGATCACTCAGCAACACAGTCAACCCAAACACTTGCTTTAAGAATTAGGATAATTAGGGAATCATTAAGCTAACTGCTGTGACATTTTTTAGCGTATGTATGGATGAAGTGGTTTTACCTTTAAAAATGACTTATGAAGAAAATCCTAGAGTGAGAGTTAGTGTGGCCCAGCAGCCCCTGCTCTGTTGGCTTGCTCCTCAGCTCTAGAGTTTGAGCAGAAGCTTCTTTTCAGGCTCTGAGCAGCTAATTATATGCCGGGCAGCAGATGTGGAGCAAATGAAACACATGGAAAATAAATTACATATGTATGAAACGAACAGCTTGAAACAGGAAAGAAGAAAGATGTAGTTTGAAATTGAATTCTTTGAGCGTTTATGACGGTTAATCTTTCCTCAGTCCACCCTCAGTCCTCTGGAATTGTGTCACATTTGCTTAAACATTTTCATGCAAAAGGTGACATTCCCTGGACCTCCTTTCATGTCCATGTTTTCCACTGTATAATGTAGACTACCTACCTCTATGGAGGTGAAATAAGGTTTGGGACGGTGTCTAGTCCACAAGTAAATTTAGATGACTTCTTCGCCCTGGAGTTAAGTACACAGTGATGTAAAAGCCTGTGACTTTTACCCCAAGGCCCCAGTCTACCTATAGACTTTTGAAACATCTAAGCAAACTTATTTTTATGATTGGAAATGCTTTTCTGGCAGAGACTTATCCAGGCTCAAAGGATGAAGTGTTTGTAGGTTTTTTGGCATTTTTTTCTTTTGGTAAAAGAAAACAGATTTATTGGATATACTGTAAGGATTAGTGGCCTGTGCAGTAACAAGAACTGTCCACAGCCTTGATAATTTAGCACATAAAGGGGTGGGTTTCACTATTGCATTTTCACACATAGGTATCATTATGCTTTGTGCTCATTCATGCCCTTCTCCAACTGCCTCCCTCTCCCCACTGCCCACCTTACACTGCTTCACTTTCTTGTCCTAAATGGTTCTCTTCTCACATCACTTACATTCCATTACCTTCGCTGGGTGTGGTGGCGCATGCCTTTGATTCCAGAACTCAGGAGGCAGAGGCAGGAGGATCTCTGTGAGTTTGAGGCCAGCCTGGTCTACATGGTGAGGACCAGGGATGGCCAGGGCTACATAGTTGACCTGTCTTAAAAAACAAACGTTTCATTACCTTCTGTTTTCCTCCCTCCTGTGAGATCTCTTGTGCCCTCTCTGATCCTTTTCTGACTTGGACTCCGGTGTGTGCGTGTGCACATACACAAATGTGAATCTAGAGTCTACATGAGAGACAGTATGCAGTGTTTGTCCGAGTCTGTTACTTAGCATAATGATTGCAGTTCCATCTGGTTTCTTGCAAATGTCTTGACCTTATTTTTCTTGGTAGCTGAATAAAATTCCAGTATATATTAATAAATTCCTATCAGTTTCATTTAGCTATTCATCTTGGGAAGCATCGAAGCTGGTTCCATTTCATAACTATTGTGGATAGTCTGGTGATAAACATGGGTACACACTGATCTCTGCTCTGTTAACTTGGAGTTCTTCAGGTTTATGCCCAGGAATGGTGTAGCTGAGCCCCGTGGCAGTTCTGATTTCTGCGGTGCTGTACCATTTTCCACCATCAACAGTGCCAGGACTCCTTTCTTCCCTAAGAGGATGTATTGTTATTAAGAAATTCAGAGAGGTTGCATTTCTTTCCTACTAGAAGCACCTCTAGTATTTATCACAGTGACATAAAATGCTATGACCTCTTAGCAAGCCAGCATTTGGTTTATATTTTTAGAGATTTAATAACTAGCAGTATGGTAGTCCTTCCCTGAGACAGCCTGTCCTGGACTAAAAGCTACTTTAGTTGAAATCCACAAGCAAAGATACTCAGTATTGCTGTTTTTCTGACTGATGTGTTTAGAAATTGTAGAGACTGATGACCTTTTATAAAAATGCCTTGTTGTATATATCCTCCCTCAAAGATATTTTCCTAATGTAAGTCTGTAATTACAGGAAAATAAATCAGGATGGAATTACCTGGTTCTTTGCTTCCTTTCCAGATATTGTAATCAGGTTCTCTCTAAAGAAATTGATGAATGTGTGACCCTCCTTCTGCAAGAGCTTGTAAGTTTCCAGGAGCGCATCTACCAGAAGGACCCTGTGAGAGCGAAGGCCAGGAGGCGGCTGGTCATGGGGCTGAGGGAGGTCACCAAGCACATGAAGCTGAACAAGATCAAGTGTGTCATCATTTCCCCCAACTGTGAGAAGATCCAGTCAAAGGGTGTGTGTGCTTGCTTTCCTCCCTCCTGTGCTTTCCTCAATCCTGTTTACCATGATTTGTTACCATTGTAGGGAGCCACATCTTTCTCTACAATATAGTCATGGAATAAATGTTTGGCATAAGAAAATGAAATCTTCCAATACCTAAATTAAGTAGGTGTGTGAACTGTGGTAAAGTTCTCCATTGGGCCCGCCAAGTGTCTCCTTGCTGTGATCAGACTAGAACTAGCCAGGGTGTATTACTTTGCATCTGTATATTGTTCTCTGAAAACTTTATTTAACCTTCTTTAATGATCTTTCCCTCTTTAAAAACAACTAGCAAAAGCCAGCCAGTGGTAGCACACACCTTTAAGCCTAGTACTGGGGAGACAAAGGCAGGTGGATCTTTGTGAATTTGAGGCCATCGTGGTCTACAGAGCGAGTTGTAGGACAGCCAGAGCTACACAGAGAAAGACCCTGTCTTAAAAAACAAAAACAAAAACAAAATAAGATAATAAGAACTGGAAAAAAGATAAAGATCTCAGCTCCTGCTTAGGGTGGAGATTTGTCTCTCAGAAACCAGTGGTTAAATAGTATCTTAGGGTCTTTATTGTTGTGATTAAAACACTATGGCCAAAATCAGTCTGGGGAGGAAAGGGTTTATTTCACCTTACATCTTATAGTTTATCTTTCCGGGAAGTCAGGACAGGAACTCAAGGTATTAGGCTAGAGACAGATGATGATGTATTCACTGTGAAGGATGCATTCACTGACTCGCTCCCCGTGGTTTCTTTAGCCTTGCTTTCTTGTAGAATGCAGGACCACCAGCACAGAGGTAGCCTCACCTGAAATGTGCTGAGCCCTCCCACATGAATCACTAATTAACAAAGTGCATCATTGGCTTACCTATAGGCCAGTGTGGTGGAGGCGTTTTCTTAATTGGTTCCTTCTTGCCAAGTGACCCTAGCTTGTGTCAAGTTGACATAGAGAGGCTCCTGGTAGGTTAGCACATGAGTACATCTCTTGGTAGACAGCCTTGTTTGACCTTGGTGGTGGAGCAGACAGATCTAGGTATCAGGAGCTGTGATAGACACTTGGCACGGAGAAAACATCTGTGCCACCATGTTCATTTGTCTCCCTAAATAAGATTGGTTATTACTGGAGCTTAGAGAATGTGAAAAAAAGATTAGTTACTCTTAACAATTTCAACATAATAAATGCTTGTTACATTGAAACTTGATTCCTGCTATGCTGAATCCTATAGATAGAGAAACTAAAATACTGGGTTTGAAGGAATTTGGAATTTAATTTTGGAGAAAGACAAATATCGATAGAGACAGAGAGAGTGTGTTACAGTTCAAGTAAGACTTTCTTTTGCTGCAGTACTCTGTTCTTTAGCCTGGTTAGCTCCAGCATGAAGGTGACTGAGGGATGCCTCTCCACATGTTGATTTCCTTAGGTGGCCTAGATGAGGCCCTCTACAACGTCATAGCCATGGCCCGGGAACAGGAGATCCCTTTCGTATTTGCCCTTGGAAGGAAAGCTCTCGGACGCTGTGTGAACAAGCTGGTTCCTGTTAGTGTGGTGGGGATCTTCAACTATTTCGGTGCTGAGGTAAGAAATTAGGAAACAGGACCAGAGAGGAGGCTCAGTCAGTAAATGCCCTTCAGTCTGATCCCTGGAACCCACTTCAAGCCAGGCAGGGTGGTGAACTTATAGCACTGGGGAGCCAGAGACAAGTGGGTCTCTGTAGGCCAGAAAGAGTTCCTGTCTGAGTTCCTGTCTAATAAACAAGATAACTGGAGCCTGAGGAACAGCACCTGCCATTGACCTGTAGTGCCTCAGAACACACACACACACACACACACACACACACACACTTAGGAGACACATTCTCTTTCTCCTTCCTATTACCACATGCCAGGAGTCAATTAGTAACTCAAAGGAGTGGACCAGAACTTCTTTCTTCAATATTTTCTTCTCTTCCCTTATGTACTTTAGTTTCTGTTTCTGTCTGTCCTGCTTATAATACCTATTTTAATCTTAAAATCATAAATCTTAAATCTTCATGCCTATTTTCTTTTTTACTGGTTTCATCTAAATGTGTGGTTTGTTACATACTACAAATAGAATTTTCATTGTTAGTGGTCCATAAAGGGGCTGCTTTTTTTTTTTTTTTAATTTATTTATTAGTTCTAGTTAGGGAACAAGCTGGTTTCACATGTAAGTCCCTTTTCCCTCTCCCTCCCCTCACCCCATCCCTCCTGCCCCATCCCCAGCCTACCCCCACTCCATCCACTCACCACTCCTCAGGCAGGGTAGGGCCCTCAACAGGGGCTCTGCAAAGTCCACCAAATCTTCCTGTGCTGGTCCTGGGCCCTTCCCCATGTGTCCAGGGTCAGAGTGTAACCCTTCACGTAGGATGGGCTCTCAAAGTCCCTTTTTGCACCAGGGAAAAATACTAATCCACTACCAGAGGCTCCCTGGAGTGCAGAGGCCTCCTTATTGACATCCATGTTCAGGGGTCTGGATCAGTCTTGTACTGGCCTCCCTGACAGCATCTGGGGTCGATGTGCTCTCCCTTGTTCAGGCCAACTGTTCCTGTGAGTTTCTCCAACCTGGTACAGACCAAAGGGGCTGCTTTTAACCATTCTTTTTCCTTTATAAAGTATGTGTTTGACAGCTAGTTTCGGCTTTTCCTGCCTTATCAGTCAGCACAGTTAGCAGCATCATTCATTGTTCCTGGTCCTCTGAGCATGGGTGTGGCACCTTCTGCCTGCTTAGATCCTCATGTAATCACAGTGCCTTGATGAGAATAAAGAAAGCATGCTGTACATTTCCCGTTGTCTTAAAATGTATTTTATGTGTAAAATTCAACATACTCTATATCAAGCCATGTTGAAATTCTCTGATGATGTATGTTTATTGTCTTACTAAGCAAGACATTAAAATCTTTGCCACAAGTGCCAGGCATAGTGGCACATGTTTAATCCCAGTGCTTGGGAGGCAGAGACAGGTGGATCTCTGTGAGTTTCAGAGCAGCTGGAGCCACATAGTGAAACCCTGTCTCAAAAAACAAACAAACAACCAATAAAAACAAAAAACACTTGTCAGGCTCGAAGTCTTTTTGAAGGATGATCTGCGAAGCAGTGGGCTTTGTCTCTTTTGGTGTCGGAGAATGTCATGAGATACAGATGTTGAAGTGCAGCTTTTAGTGCTCTGTAAATATTGCCATTTTGTTAAACAGGATAATTCCCCATTTCCACTCCATTTCACTTCAGGTATTTATTTCATTCATAGGAATTTTTGTTCTACTGGTGGAGGATGTTTAGTTTAATCTACTTGCAGGCTCTTTCTTCTGTTTTTATAATTTGCCTCTGGCCCAGTAATCATGCTTTTAATCATCGTCAAGCCCTCACCATCTATAGAAACCAACTTCCTTTCAGCCTCTTTTCAGTTCTTCCCACAAGTGAGCATTGCAGAAAGGTTGGATTTTTTGTTTGATTTTTGTTTTTGGTGGGGGAAGATAGGGTATCACTATATAGTTCTAGCAGACCTGGAATTCACAGAGCTCTGCCTGCTTCTGCCTCTTCCAGGAATAAAATTAAAGGTATCTGTCACTACACCTGGCTGGAGGACTTTAAATTACTTTGGAAACCACTACTTTCTATACCCCTGGCCATCTCCCTACACATGCTCATTCCCTCATGTTCTAACCCAAGTAAGACTGTCACTGCCCCCAAACCAGCCTGCTTCTCCTGTGTCTCCCTTGATTATATGTTATTCAAAACTGCCTTCTCCATCCTTCTCAGAACTGTACCTGTTTTCAAGCTATGCATCAAATGTTAGTGTCCTTGAATTCCTCAGTGATGCCCACAGTCAGATTTAATGTCTTCTTTAAAAGCTACAGTACTGTTAATTTGTCGCTGGTATTGTTTGTTTTGTTTTGTGAAACAAAAAGCCAGAAACCTCTGCAGGCACTTGAGCTACTATGATATCTTTCCCTTACTGTCATACACACGTTTCTGCAGGAGAAGAGTTGATGTTCCATTCTTACTCTCCGTAGTACCAGACTACAGGGAGTGTTGGTTGAACCTTTCAAATACCTTGCATTTAGAGGCTAGTGTTAGAATCAGTTGTCTCAACTCTATGGGAATTAATAAGCCACATGTGTGTTACGTGCATTTTGTAAGCTTCTGTTGTTTACAAACTGCCTGAATTTCATCCGGGCTAAAAAAATGACTAGTCACAGAAGAATCTCTGCCTTTTTAGAGCCTATTTAATAGATTAGTGGAGCTCACCGAGGAAGCCCGGAAGGCGTATAAAGACATGGTTGCAGCAACAGAGCAGGAGCAAGCAGAGGAAGCCTTGAAGAGTGTGAAGACAGTGCCTCACCACATGGGCCATTCTCGGAACCCCTCTGCAGCAAGTGCTATTTCTTTCTGCAGTGTTATTTCTGAACCCATTTCTGAAGTAAACGAGAAGGAGTATGGTAAGTCATTCCATACCATTTTAAATGAAATAATTCAAGTGATTAAAACCTTTTTGTATATAACTTCCATTGTACTTCTGGTTTGTTTTTATACTTTTTTTTTTTTCCCAAAATCTGGCGTTGAACTCACTATGTGGCTAAGGATGGCTTTCAACTTCAGATCCCCTGTCTTTATCTCCCAAGTGCTGAGATTACTAGTGTGTGCTACCACACACAGTGTACGTGACAAAGGGGAGCAAGTCCAGAACTCCATGCAAACTAAGCAAGGACTCCCATCAACTAAGCCTTATCTCCAGCCCACATATTCTTATTCTTAATTATCAAATTTTAGCTTAAAATTAGTTTAATAAAAGACACATAGACTAAAATTTAAAAAGTAAAAAAAAAATTAGTTTAAACATTATTATTAAAAATAGAATATTTGTCTGGACTTGGTAGTACACACCTTTAATCCCAGCTCTTGGGAGACAGAGACAGGTGGATTTCTATGAGTTTCAGGACAGCCAGGGCTACTGATACTGCCCTTTAAGATCTTGGAAATCAATCACATTTTGTCTTAGCCACTTGTTCCATTGCTGTGAAGAGACACCGTGACCATGGCAGCTCATAAAGGAAAGCGTTCAGGTGGGGCTGGCTACAGTTCAGAGGTTCAGTCCATTGTCATCATGGTGGGGAACGTAGAGGCAAGCAGGCTTACATGGTGCTGGAGCAGGAGCTGAGAGTTACAAGCAGATTCATAGGCAGAGAGAGACAGACAGACACTGGGCTTGGTGTGGGCTTTTGAAATCTCAAAGCCTTCCAACAGTGACACAGTTCTTTCAACAAGGGGATACCTCTCCAGAGGCTTCTTCCTGGGCAGTGGTGGCACACATCTTTAATCCCAGCACTTGGGAAGCCTTAGTTTTTATTTTTAAAACTCTGCCTAAGAAGTAATTAAATGCTGAACCTCTCTTTAGGAAAAAGAGAAGCCAATGGAAGGAAATGCAAATGTGGCTTTAAGGCTTTATTTTTCATAATTAAATATATATGAGATAATACCTTATTCTTAATTTCTTAAAATTATATTTATCATGTGTGCATGTGCATGACAGGATGTGGCACACCTCTGACACAGCATGTTCTATGGTCAGAGGATAGCTTTGTGGACCCACTTCTGATAAGTAGTTTATATCCCCGGTAGTCAGTTTCTCCGACAATGCAATAAGCCAGATCAAACTGAATTAAGACCAGGTTTAATCTGAGCACAGCATCTCCCGGGTGATTCTCAGGAAGAACAGGAGAGAAATCACATGGCAGCTCTAGAGACAGAGTTTAAATACTCTTAGGCAAAGTCTTGAGCAGTTCTGGGAGAAGGCAGGGTCGAGAGAGAGAGAGAGAGAGAGAGAGAGAGA